TGTGGTCTTGCTTTGAGGGACTGTCCCTTCCACTTCCAGCCCATTCTTCAGGACAGCTCACCTTTCAACTGCAAACCTCCTACCTGTCACTGGGCACTCATCTACCAGCTTCAGTCACCCCAGAACTGTGTACTTGACAATGATGTCCATTCTGTAAGCCCTAGAGCCCACCAGTCTGGTGCCACATTACCCTTCCTTTCCAGCCTTACCTACAAAAATCCTTCTAAACACCCTTGCCTATTTCCCCTGACTCTTGAGAGTGTCTTCCTCCCTGCCAACCCTGGTGCTTCTCCATGTGGTCCTGTCTGGCATAGAGCATCCCTTCTCTTGAGAATTCTGGACAACAAACTATCTTCAATGGTAGGTGCCTACTATGAAAATAAAACCTATATATTTTTATTTTTCTGGTCAGTCATGGGGCTTGACCTCAGGGCCTGGACGCTGGCCTGAGCTTTGTTTCTCAAGGTTAATGCTCTACCACTTTGAGCTACACGGCCACTTCCAGTTTTCTGATGGCTAATTGGTGCCTGGTTTCTAACTGATTCTCAGATCTCAGTCTCCTGAGGAACTACAGTTATAGGGGTGAGCCATGAACACTCAGCTATAAAAACCTATATTCTACAAATACACAGCTTCCCTATCTTTCATCCATAAAGACTTCATTAGCTGGACCCTTTACAACATACTGTTTTCACTCTTCTAGTTTCTGGCTTAGCAACTAATCTATTTTGATGGCCCAGTGTTAGCTTTCTGTTACGTGACCCACTTAAAAAAACTTGTTCTGGTTCTCAGTGTCAAGATGTTTCTGTCCATAGTTGCTTCACCCCATTGCTTTGGGTTGGGAGCACATGGAAGAAGAAGACTGTTTATTTTATCACAGCTGGGAAGTAAGAAGAAAAAGGCAGGAAGGGGCAGCATTTCAGCAATTCCTTCCAAGCACAACGCCGATGTAACTTCCTCCAGCTAGGCCCCACTCCCTTAGATGGAGATACCTAAGATCTTGCTCCTATTTGTCCCACATGTAAGGGAAATATCAAGACCATATACTATGGCCACTCTGGGAACTCGGTGACATTTTTGGCACTCCTATCTGAAATATTGAATAACTTCATGAGAACACAGAAGACTCATAAGATATTGAATTGGAAAAACTTTTGTCTTACACATGTATCAAGGTAAAGCTTGCTGAGACAAATGTTTTGTCAATTTCAATATATCCTTGAAGCAAAATATTATTCAAACTTTGTATTCAAAACTATAGACCCTATAAACTGTCTTTGAAATTGTGATGGATGAGTTTAATACTTTTTTTTGTCAGTCATGGGGTTTTTACTCGAGGCCTGGGCTCTGTCCCTGAGCTCTTTTGCTCAAAGCTAGTGCTCTACCACTTTGAGCCAGAGTGTCACTTTTGGTTTTCTGGTGGTTGACTGGAGGTAAGGGTTTCAAAGCCAGCTTAGGCTGGCTTTGAACTGCATGGTCCTCAGATCTCAGACTCCTGAGTAGCTAGGATTACAGGTATGAGCCACTGGCAGCACTTGTATAGCATTTTGTCCACAAAAAATTACTTTAGGGCTGGGAAGGTGGCTCAGTGGTAGAGCGCTTGCCTTGCATGCCTGAGGCCCTGGGTTCGATTCCTCAGCACCACATAAGCAAAATGAAAAAAGCTGGAAGTGGCGCTGTGGCTCAAGTGGTAGAGCGCTAGCCTTGAGCTGAAGAGCTGAGGGACAGCGCCCAGGCCCAGAGTTCAAGCCCCACGACCGGACCCCCCCCCCAAAAAAAAAAAGAAAAAAGAAGATTACTTGAGAAAGATTTCTCCTCCTATTTATATGGACTTCAATGGGTCATTCCCTTACCTGCCAAAACACTGAATACTTAGGGAGAGTCTGCTTCAAAGGCATTTCTTTCATTTATTTTGCAAGGAAACAAGAGAAAAAGCCAGGGCTGGGAAGGTGGCTCAGTGGTAGAGTGCTTGCCTTGCACGTATGAGGCCCTGGGTTTGATTCCTCACCACATGAGCAGAAAAAGCCGGAAGTGGCACTGTGGTTCAAGTGGTAGAGCACTAGCCTTGAGCTGAAGAGCTGAGGTACAGCACCCAGGCTGAGTTCAGGCCCCACGACTGGCAGAAAAAAAAAAAAAAGAAAAAGAAAAAAAAAAAAGAAAAAAAAGAAAAAGAAAAAAAAAGAAAAAGCCAGTCTCTTTGTTTCTATGGCTTTGAATGTACCTGATTGCTTGGCTATGAACTAAAGGTAGGCACTTTCTAGATCTTTCCTGGGTTGTTGTGTGAGTTCATTTTTATAAAGTGAGAAAACACAAAGAAGTTCTGAGTAGCTCTATCGGCATCTTCCTGTGTTTATAATCAGCACTGACATCAGCAAGAAGAGCAAGGCTCTGATTCACTTAATCTAAAAACTTACAGTAAAGATGTGGATTTTTCTTTCATCAGGCAGGAGACAGTAAAGGAAGAAAGACATTGAGAAGGTGGGAGTTGTGTCATCGGAGATAGACTCTGGGCTCAGGAAGCAGAAAATGTTCAAAAACTGTGGGAAACATAACTATGGAAATTGGTAGTGAAAATGACGAGTGGGGAAACTAGTTGGGGAACATTTCATTTAACCCAGGCGTATCAGAAGTGGTGCTTCGATGCTAAGAATCTTTTAGTGTCTCTGGTTGTCTGGGTATAGTTTATGAAAGATGGGGGAAGAAAAGGGAAAGTAAGCACTGACAATGGTTTTATAGTTATAATTGTTCCGGTGCTTTGGCTCTATCTACTGTATAAATAGAAGAAGTGTTCCCTCCTTTGATTACCCTTCAATATACTCTTGGGACAGGGATACCTGTGTTGTTTTTTGTTTTGTTTTGTTTTTAAATTGATACTAGCGTTTGAACTCTGGATCTCATGTTTGCTAGCAGCTGTTCTACTACTGACCTACACCTCCCTCACATTTTTGTGCTATACTTGAGACAGGGTCTTGCTTTGTGCTCAGGTGTGAATCTGGACCACAATTCTATTTTTCATTTCCCATTGTAGTTGGGATGACATGATTTCTCTGCAATGACAAGTTTCTTTGTTGAGACGAGTGTCTCATTGGCTTTTTTTTTTTTTTTATTGCCAGTCCTGGGGCTTGAACTCTGGACCTGGGTACTGTCCCTGGGCTTCTTTGGCTCAAGGATATCATGCTACCATTTGAGCCACAGTGTCACTTCTGGCTTTTTCTCTGTATGTAGTACTGAGGAATTGAACCCAAGGCTTCATGCATGCTAGGAAGCACTCTACCACTAAGCCACATTCCCAGCTCTCTCAATGACTTTTCTGCTCAGGCTGGCCAAGAACCTGGATTATCCACCTTCAGCCTCCTATGTAGCTAGGATAACAGGTATATGCTACCATATCTAGCTATGGATCCAAAAGGGGCTTTTGAAGATTATTTTGCATAGGTTGGCCTCCAACTGCAATCCTCAGCCTCCCAAGTTGCTAAGATGACAGGCACCCAGCTGACTGCTTGGAATTTTAGCAGAGGGCTTGGGCAACACACTTTGCTGATGGCTCTTGATTGAAACTAGGCTGGAGGAAAGCAGAACAAAGTAAAGTTTTAGTAAGTCTCTAGAGACTTTTAATCTCAGGGATCCTTTCCAACCTCTCTCCATGTCACAAGCTGAATGATACATGTGATTCTGAAATAAAATGTGAACAAGGGGCATAGAGATCAGGAATTTGACCATTACAAATCAAGTATGCAGTTTACCACTGCAAAACTAACTATGAGAGACTACACAGTGACAGTATTCTATCTTTGTGAATGGAGAATTTTAATACTTTGGTTTTTTTTTTTTTTTTTTGGGTCCGGTCGTGGGGCCTGAACTCTGGGCCTGGGCGCTGTCCTTCAGCTCTTCAGCTCAAGGCTAGTGCTCTACCACTTGAGCCACAGTGCCACTTCCGGCTTTTTTCTTTTTGCTTATGTGGTGCTGAGGAATCGAACCCAGGGCCTCTGGCATGCAAGGCAAGCACTCTACCACTGAGCCACCTTCCCAGCCCGAATTTTAATACTTTGGAAAGGATGTTTTCATACTTTAGAAATGACATTTTAAAGCAATTATACAAGAAAAAGACTAAGATTTAGAGAAAAAACTCTTTCTCCTAGGCACCTTAAAGCCCAAAGTAAGATTTTAGTGGTGCTTGCAATACTTCTTTGAAAACAAGTCTTTTTTTTTTTTGTAGAAAGTTTTTATTCTATTTTTTGCTAGATCTAGGGCTTGAACTCAGGGCCTGGGCACTGTCCCTGAGCTGCTTTTGCTCAAGGCTAGTGCTTTACCACTTGAGGCACAGCACCACTTCTGGCTTTTTATGTGGTGCTGAGGAATCGAACCCAGGGATTCATACATGTGAGGCCAGCACTCTACCACTGAGCCATCTTCCCAGCCCAACAAGTCTTTTTTTTCCTTTTGTTTTCTTTTTCTTTTTTTGTCGGTCATGAGGCTTGAACTCTGAACTTGGGCACTATCCTCAGCTCAAGGCGAGCGCTCTACCACTTGAGCCACAGCGCCACTTCTGGTTTTCTGAGTGGTTTATTGAGATAAGAGTTTCTGGGACTTTCCTGCCTGGGCTGGCTTTGAACTGCGATCCTCAGATCTCAGCCTCCTGAGTAGGATTACAGGTGTGAGCCACTGGCACCTGGCTTTTTTTTTTTTTAATTGGTTAAAAAAATTTTTTTTTAAATGTTGATAATGGGGTTTGAACTCTTCTTCCTACTTGCTAGGCAGGTGTTGTTACCACTGAGCCATGCCTCCTGCCCTGAAAGTATATCTTATTTGGTGCTTTTCAAGGGGCTCTCAGGGGTCTGAGCCATCAACTCCCTGGTTCCCTAATTTGATAGCAAGAAGGGTAGAGGGAGAACTTCCACAATTTATAGAACGATAACCTCCCCACACCAGACTCCACCAATTAGTACTCACTTCTGTGTTGACAGTTGTTGAAAATTTTGAACACACACACAAGAGAAAGGTTTGAGATGTTATTGGACCAGGTATATTAAAACAAAATCAAAAATAGAATTATTAGGTCTGTACATATTAGACTAAGTGAAATGAAATGTCACTGCAGTCATTCAGAGCTTCCAGTAGAAAAAACGAGTAAACAAGACCTCTCCATCTCTTGCTGTGTTAGCTCCTGGGGCCTCTGGAGTCACCTTTTTTTCATATTCTTGGGTATAAATAGTCTCATACACATAAACAACCTAGAAATGATCGATAAATCACAAAAGGGCCTCAAATCTAGAATTATTATTATTTTTTTTACTTTCTAGAGTACAACTAAAATTAATATTTGATCCTTAAAATAATGTTCAAATTATTTGAAGCCATGAAAGAAACGTTTCTACTTTGCAAAGTTCAGCAGAAATTAAGATCATATTGTTCTTCTAAAGGACACTGTCCAAAGTCTTTAGTAAATCCTGGAATTCAAAGGCTTGATGGTTAAAAATATTCCTTCACCAGGCCGAGCAGTTTCTGAGCTCTTTCCCTTCTGGGAAGCCTGGCTAGCAGCTCTGAACAATGGGGCCTGGCCTTGGTGAATGCGCATAAATGATTGTCCTGTAGAGATTGTCCTTGCTGAAGCCTGCCCAACAGATTTATCAACTCCTACGACAGTAACTGTCAAATTCCAAGACAGAGGGAATGGAATCCAAAGAACAAAAATATTGAAATCTGAGGGAGACATCTTTAAGCTGCTGACTTTACCTGTAAAATCTAACAGGTTGGATTAGTAAGTTAAAAAAAAAAAGCCAAAGCATAGAGAAAAACACAAAGAAGTGCAAAGAAGGGTCATGCTATGCATGAGGTTATTTTTTGCTTAATAGATGAGTTTTGATCTGCTAGTACTGGGGATCTGTTGCACTGGTCTCTGAACTTTTGAGTCACATGTCTTAATTATGTTCACATGTCCAGCGTGGGTTCCTTTTTGGAGAGAAGAGTTGTTCTGTCCTCAGAAGGCTGATGGTGATCAGGCAGGACGCGATGCCCAGCTGAGATACAGTGCAACTGCATTTCAGTGGGCATCAGTCCAAAGGGACAGAATGCTTTCCCACGTCAGGATGGTCTTCCTGAGAAACTCAGCTCCTATGTGCAGATGGTCCCAGCCAGATGTGCAGATGACCCCAGCCATTGGGAATGGCTATTTCATCTCATCCTGAGACATTTCTCCCTACAGCTAGGGCTGCTGCTGATACTGCCCTTCGGTGGCAGTATAGAAATCATCTAGGACGCTCTGTAGGTAATCAAATGTTGGTCTCTCTTCGGCCTTTTCTTTCCAGCACATTTTCATGATTTCGTAGAGTTCATCTGGGCAGTTCTCCATGCGAGGCATCCGGTAGCCCTGAGACAGTGCGGTCATCACATCTGCATTGGTTCTCCCTAGGGCCAAAAACCACATGCTATTTAGAAACCAATCAGAGGGTCTTTTTGCTATTCATATCCTACAAGCACTTAAAAAAATCACTATTTAATAAAAGTGTTTTCTAAGCAAGCATTATTGAGGTGTACTCTCTACAGAGTATACCTTGAAATCAAAGCCCCAAATCTCTCAGAATGTGGCTGTATTTGGAGATAAGATGACTGAAGAAGAGAATGCATCACAATGAAAGCCAGGCACTGGTGGCTTTTGCTATAATCTTAGCTATTCAGGAGGCTGAGATTTGAGGATGGAAGTTCGGAAGCCAGTCTGGGCAGGAAAGTCAGTGAGTCAGTGAGAGTCTTATCTCCAATTAACCACTAAAAAGCCAAAAGTGGAGGTCTGGTGCAAGTGGTAGAGAGGTAGCCTTGAGTGCTAAGGGACAAAACTAAGGGACAGTGTTTAGTTCAAGCCCCAGTACTGGCATGCATGCACACACACACACGCACACACACACACAGGATCTCACTACGTGACCTAGGCAGGTCTCAAACTCATGATCCTCCTGCCTCCACCTCCAGAGTACTGAGATTGCAGACATGACGTTCCATGCCAATATTTAGTTTATTATCTTTAAGTGGTTGTACAAGAGGGTTTCAATTCAACATGCCAGTTTTGAGCACAATCCACCTTGATCAATGTCATTCCTCCCATTGTTCTTTTCCATCTCTTCCAAGCCCACCAGCACCAATAATTTGGCTGATTTCTAGGGTGGTGCTCTACTAATTACCCATGTCACCAGCTCTACTTTTTGTTGGTTATCTTGAAGACAGAGTCTAGAAGATTTTTCTTCCCAGGATGCCCTCAAACCTCAATCCTCTAGATCTTAGCCTACTGGGGATTTCAGCTGTGAATCATCAAAATCCGTTCACGATTTTTTTTTTTTTTTTGGTCATTCTGAGGCTTGAACTCAGCCTGGGCGCTGTCCCTCAGCTCTTCAGCTCAAGGTGAGTGCCTTCCCACTTGAGCCACAGCACCACTTCTGGTTTTCGAGTGGTTTATTGGAGATAAGAGTCTCATGGACTTTGCTGCCCAGGCTGGCTTTGAACTGCGATCCTCAGATCTCAGCCTCCTGAGTAGTTAGGATTACAGGTGTGAGCCTCGGCACCCAGTCACCAATGTAATTTTTAAATTTGTCTTCCATTATCAATTTACTTAAATCCAGCATCTTCAAGTACCCGAGTTGAGCTGGTAATATTGCCAAATAGATACACACTCAGCATTCACTTAGAAATGAATCATATGTTGGGTCATCTGCAGGACATCTGTCTGTAGTATGTGCCAGGTCACCTGTGATATACTTTATCTCTTATGAACAAGATATTGAGAAGCAGAAAGGGGGAGGCAACTCATAGCTTGTCTCAGTCATTAAATTGTTTCTGTCTTCAGTACCTGACTAGAGTCAAAGTTCACAATGCAAGTGGAATTTGCATATTTTCAACATCCCTTGAGGGGAATGAGGTGCTTAAATGGAAGAGGGGGCTGGGAAGGTGGCTCAGTGGCAGAGTGCTTGCCTTGCATGTATGAGGCCCTGGGTTCGATTCCTCAGTACCACATGAGCAGAAAAAGCCGGAAGTGGCACTGTGGCTCAAGTGGTAGAGCGCTAGCCTTGAGCTGAAGAGCTGAGGGACAGGGCCCATGCCCAGCAAAAAATAAATAAATAAATAAATAAATAAATAAATAAAAGGAAGAGGGCTCCTAAGACCACCTAATATCTCAAGCTGAACTGTCAAGTTCTCACACTGAGAAATGCTTTAATTCAGGGATCATTTGACTAATAACATTGTCCTGCATTATTAAAACGTCACAAGGAATTGTGCTCATTTAGCAGTTTGAACAGCTCTTAGACTCAGCTGTGCCTTTTACATATTTTGTCCCTTCCCCTTTGTGTAGGCATGTGAGCTTCTCTACAAGACTTTATTTCATGCAGAAGATATGTGCTATCTGGAACAGAAGAGAAACTCATTCATCTCAAGCCCTTTCCTTTCTATTGCGACAAATTTCATCTTCACTTGTCACTGAAAAAATTCTAAAAGAGTCACTTTAGGCAAATGGCTTTACCAGAATTAAAGTAGAACCTTTAAAAGTGCTTATTCTATAATCAGTGTTTTTCAAATAGTAGGACAAAATCAACAAGTTAGTGTTTTGTTTTGTTTTGATTGTTGTTTTTGCCAGTACGGGGGCTTGAACTCAGGGCCTGGGCACTGTCCCTTAGCTTCTGTGCTCAAGGCTGGAGCCACAGCTCCACATCTGTTTTTTTGGTAGTTAATTGGAGCTAAGAGTTTCACAGGCTTTTCTGAGCTATCTGGCTTTGAACTGAATCCTCAGATCTCAGTCTCCTGAGTAGGTTTATAGGCATGAGCCCCTTGCACCCAGCTACATCATGTTTTTATTTGGAGTTCTGATCTGCATAAAATTATGCACATTGTTTTGATTCTTGTAACTAAACAAGCTTGCCTGGATCAATTTCCATAGGAATGTCAGTTTGTATTAATGCACTACCAAAGGGTGATGTGTGGGTATCCTGGAGGAGAAGGAGATGACATTCACGATGACATCAGTACCAACTGGATCTGCATACTTGATTGGGGATTTCCTTTACTTCCTTTCTTTTTTTTTTGGTGGGGGGGCTTGAACTCTGGGCCTGGGTGCTGTCCCTCAGCTCTTCAGCTCAAGGTGAGCACTCTACCACTTGAGCTACAGCGCCACTTCCGGTTTTCTGGTGGTTTATTGGAGATAGGAGTCTCCCGGTCTCTCCTGCCCGGGCTGGCTTTGAACCGCGATCTTCAGATCTCAGCCTCCTGAGTAGGTAGGATTACAGGCGTGAGCCACCAGCGCCTGGCTTTTACTTCCTTTCTTAAGAACTCCCAGCTGTATAAAAGGTCAGAATACGCTCTCAAAAGAAAGACCTTAGTTAGGTGCTGGTGGCTCATGCTTCTAATCCTAGCTACTCAGGAGACCAAGATTTGAGGATCCAGGTTCAAAGCTAGCCAAGTCAGGAATGTCTATGATACTCTTAGTTTTAACCACTAAAAAACAAGAAGTAGGACTATGTATGACTCAAGCCCCAGTACTGGAGGTGAGTGTGGGGGAAGACATCATGATTCTGAACATTTTATCTATTTTAAACCACTAGAGCTGTTTAGGGGCAAAGAAAAACAAAAATTCCAACAACAATAGAGACTCCTCTTTTTAACATTTAAAATTCATGTTAAAAATATAATCATAGTTTTGAAATGAGGACCTTTGGCCTCACCTCCAATTTTCCCCTCATATAACTCATCCCACAACAACAACAAAAAGAACAGAAATAGAAACTTCAGCTCTGCCTGTGATGAAACTAAGAGGCACCTGGCAATCGCAGGCAGAAGTGGTCTGAACTGAGAGGAAGAAAATGTCCCTGGTGTGCCAGCAGAGAGGGGCAACAGAGGGTAGAACAGGAAGGCTCATCCTCAACACACCCTGCGAAGGCCCAGCGATGGCCAGAACCCCACAAGAGAGAGTGAAGCCAACTGCCACAGGCTGCCTGGAGAAAGTGGGTTATGGTATGAATATGGTGTGCTCATCTCCCCTTCCCCCACTGAAACTCATGTTGATTTAGGACCACCATTGTGACAGTGCTTAGAGGTGCTTTAATAGATGGTTAGGTTAAGGGGATTGGAGCCTTTCTCTTGACATTAGTTTCCGGCAGCCTGACTGTCAAAAAACCAGGCTGCCCCTCCTGCTTTGTTCTGCATGCGCCTGCTCACCCATCTGCTTTTCACCATGTTATAAAGTTGCACTAGGCCCTCACTGGACACTGAGCAGATGCTCTTGGGCATCTTAGCTTCCAGGTGAATCTCTCTCATTTACAAGTTACCCAGGTGCAACATTTTCTTTGAACCACTGGAAACAGACTAAGACAAATGGAGCAGAAGAGCTCCATGCCTGGACACCAGGCCCAGCAAGGGTCCAAGTTGCTTGGGACAGGAGACTAGGAGTGAGGAGAAAGGCTCAGTGTGAAAACATGTCATGTCATGGATGAACCTAGAGGACACTGTGCTGAGTGAAATAAACAGACACACAAGGCAGCAACTACCATGCCATTCCTAGGAGGCTCTGGAGTAGAAATAGTTAGGTAGCTCCAAGCCCAATCCTTATAAAGAATAAGCAAAATGGGAATGGACAAAGCAATCCTTTTTGTAATGATCATTTTCTTACTCTAGTCTCTCCCTCCCTCCCTCCTCCTCCCTTTCTTCTTCTCTCCTTCCCTTCCTTCCTTCCTTCCCCCTCACTTTCTTCCTCCTTCCTTCTGATACAGGAGTATGAACTCAGGGCCTAGGCTTTTTAGATCAAGACTAACGCTAAGGCTGAAACTCTACCATTTGAGCCACAGCTCCACTTCTGACTTTTTGGTGGTTAATTGAAGACAAGAATCTCATGGTTTTTCCTGTCTGGGCTGGCTTCAAACTGTGATCTTCAGATCTTAATTAGCATTATAAGCATTAGCCACTAGCATCTGGTTTCTTTCATATTTTTCATGATTTTTCAACTCAAATCTTTTCAGATTCTGACCACTGGGCACAGAGAGTGAAGAGAAGGTCTTACAAGGCACAGGGATCTAGTTTGGAAGCAGTTCAGCTACCAGCCAGCGCTAAATTGTTTTCTTTGAGCTTTAGAGACCTCAACTGAGCATCATTTATAACTCATCATGCATGTTACATATTATCATGTTATATATTTATCACATATCAGATTACACATATAATGTGGAAATTTAATCTTTTTCTCAGTATAAATAGATCTAACTATAGATATAGACATAAATGATTGAGCTATAGATACACGAAGACAGACAGAAAGGTTGAAATATATTTCTTGGCCAGGCACTGGTGGCTCACACCTGTAATCCTAACTACTTAAGAGGCTATGATCTGAGGATCATGGTTTGAAGCCTGCCTAGTCAGGAAAGTCAATGAGATTCTTATCTCCAGTTAACCAACAAGAAGCCGGAAGTGGAGCTATGGCTCAAGTAGTGGAGTGCTAGCCTTGAGAAAAAATGTTCAGGCACAGTGATCAGCCCCTGAGTTCATGCTCTAGTACTGCATACACATGTGCTCTAGTACTGCATACATATACGCAGGCACATGCACGCGCGCGCACACACACACACACACACACCCAACACCGCCACTCTATGGTATGAGTTCACTAACTTTAGCACCTACTGTAGGGACGGTCAGAATATAAAATTCTCTGGGGCCCTCAGCCCAACGCAGGCACTACCCAAAGTTGTTCTGCCCCAGATGGTCCCATTCTAGCTGGTGTGTAGCCATACTTGTAGCACAGTGGGGAGCAACCAGTACATGTCCACCACAGCTCTGCTCTGTCCCCCAAGCTCCCTGCTTTCCACCTATACCTACACCAATCTCCTGTGGCCACATAGCTCTTGACACACACTAGTCCCAAGTTGACCTCCCACACTGGCCTGCTTTCTCATCCACAGCACAGAGCCTATCTCCAACTAAATGGCCTAGGTGGATGGGTCATCCATCCATCCATCCATCCATCCATCCATCCATCCATCCATCCACTGAGTACTCATTGAAACCCAAATCATGCTGGCCTCCTACTCTTACTCCTGTGGCCCAACCCCAGGTACTAGCTAGTCCCACCATGGGACATTCAGGTCTGGAGACTCTGTCCATCATGTCTTTGAGCCCCTGGCTACTACAAGGACCACTAGATAAAACCAGTAGCTTCTTCACCTTCTCTTCCTCAAGTACTCATTGGCCCCAGAGCCCGGGCACACACTCTCCCCAGCATCCCGCCCCACCCACAGCTACGGTCTGTAGAGCACCCATCTCTCCCTACCAGTATAGTAGGTCTCACAGGCAGGGACTGAGATGACTGCATCTCTAGAGTCTTGAGAGTACCTGGCCTGCTCAGATGGTTTTATGTTTTTGTTGTTGTTTATAGTTATTTATTTTTGTTGGTGCTGGCAATTGAAGTCACGGCCTTGCACATCCTTCATAACCGCCGAACTACATACCAGCGCTCAGATAATTTTTTTTTTTGGCCAGTCCTGGAGCTTGAACTTAGGGCCTGGCACTGTCTCTGAGCTTCTTTAACTCAAGGCTAGTGCTCTACCACTTGAACCACAGTGCCACTTCTGGTCTTTTCTGTTTATATGGTGCTGAGGAATTGAATCCAGGGCTTCATGCATGCTAGGCAAGCACTCTACCACTAAGCCACATTCCCAGCCCTGTTAGATAATTTTTAAATGAAGGAACGACTTACAGTAGAACTTTAATTTTACATTCAGCTTATCTGTAGATTTTGTGGAAAGTCAGACATTCATGAAGGACTGGGGAAAAATCCCTTCTTACCCTGAGTGTGGGTGAAGGGGACGGAAGGTAGCTTCCTTCAGCTTGGGTATGGGGAATCTGGAGGTAATGAATGATGCCCCCATGGACAGTGGTAAGTTGAAAATCAGAAGCATCTGTTACTAACAACAGGCACTTATTTCTTAAAGAGGAAGAGAGACTCCATAATTCAATTCCAGGGTTGGGGGCATGGCTCAGGTGGCAGAAGGCTTGCTCTAACAGGTATAAGGCACTGAGTTTAAATCCTACTACCACCAACAAAATCAACTAGACAAACCAGAAAAAAAATCCCCTCGGTTCCAAAATCAATTAGAAGGCTCTGGAAGTCCTCGTTTTTGCATTGGTTTCTTCCTGTGTAGGGGTACCTATGTCAAATTCTGACTCATCTCAACACTTACAGCAGTACAACAGTGCTGGCACTGCTCTAGGTACTGAGTAACTAACTGGCGGGACTCATTAGTGAGAGAGCTATGCAGGACCAAAGAGAAGGTCAAGAAGATTTGAAAGCAATTCAAAGTATATTTTAGAGCCATTGCCACAAAACACAGTGAAAGTCAAGTTTTGGTATACTTATTTATTCTTTGCTTTTGGCAGATGGAACTATTTGGTTTCTTAAAAGCCTCACACAGCTTGACTATTTCCTCATAAAGACCACCTGCATGAAAGCAGTTAAGTAAGCCATACCTGGGTAAGGGATCTTCCCATAGGTGACAATTTCATACAGGAGAATCCCAAAGGACCAAACATCAGACTTGATAGTGAAGCATCCAAAGTTGATGGCTTCAGGAGCCGTCCACTTAATGGGGAACTTAGCACCTGAGGAAGAAGATGACATGTGACTCTGACTTAGGCATCTCAAGCAGAAAAGTTATGAGTGTGAGGCCTTCATATTTCCCCCTTCCCTTCCCTTCCCTTCCTTTCCTTCCCCTCTCCTCCCCTCCCCTCTCCTCCCCTTCCTTTTCTTCCTGTACCACTCTTGGGGCTTGAATTCAGGGCCTAGGTGCTGTTCCTGAGCTTTTTAAACTCAAGGCTGGCACACTGAACTTGAGCCACAGCTCCACTTTTAGTTTTGTGCTGATTAATTGGAGATGAGAGTCTCAGACTTTTCTGCCAAGCTGGCTTCAAATCATGATCCTCAGATCTCAGTCTGAGTAGCTATGATTACAGGTATGAACCACTGTTGCAGACTAAAGATAACTTGGGGGGAAAAAAACCAACCAACCAACCAACCAACAAACAAACAAAAAAACCCAGTCAAGCCCCATGGCTCACGCCAGTAATCCTAGCTACTCAGGAGGCTAAGATCTGAGGATTGTGGGCAGGAAAGTCCACGAGACTCTTATCTCCAATTAACCACCAGAAAACCGGAAGTGGTGCTATGGCTCAAGTGGTAGAGCATTCACCTTGAACTGAAGAGCTGAGGGACAGCGCCCAGGCCCAGAGTTTAAGCCCCATGACAGACAAAACAACAACAACCACTACAATAACAAAAAATGCCACAACTATTATTGCAGGAGGGCAAAGGAGAGGGTACAGCAATGAAGGGACAAAGGGTGAACAAATGCAGCAGTGCTACTCAACACTATGCTGAACATAAACTGTATAACTTGTAAGCGGAGATGGGAGGGAAAAACCTTTACAGGGAGGAAAGGGGTGACATTGTCTAAAAGAAATGTACTCATTACCTGATTAATGTAACTGTAACCCCTCTGTACATCATCTTAAAACAAAACTATTATTGTAACAAGACAATAATAGACAATGATAGTACATTGAATATTGTGCTAAAGAAGTTTTCCTGCAGGCAATGATGATGTAATTGCTTTGTTAAGAAAGCAGACAAAAAACCATCAAAGGAGACAGTAAGAAGAGACTGAAAGACAGTCCTCTTGCACGCGCACCTTCCCTTGCCGTGTACTCGTTGTCCTCTATGACTCGAGCCAGGCCAAAATCTGCAATCTTGCACATCAGTGACTCAGACACCAGGACGTTCGCTGCCCGTAGGTCACGGTGGATGTAGTTCTTCCTCTCGATGTACGCCATGCCCTCTGCAATCTGGAATCAGAAATCAACTCCTGAGTTAGCATGAAGGCAAGTCTGTCAGAGCAGGTCAGCAAGGAACACTAAGAAGCCTTGAGTTCCCACATATATTATTTTGGTCATTCAAGTTTGAAAACAGTGGGAAATCAAGAGGAGTGTGTGTGTGTGTTTGTGTGTGTGTGTTTGTGTGTGGCACAATATAGGGCTTGAACTCAAGGGTTGGGTGCATTTAGCTTTTTTGCTCAAGGCTAGCACTCTACTATGTGAGTCATACCTCTACCTCCAGCTTTTTGCTGGTTTGTTGGACATAAGAGTCTCACAGACTCCTGCCTGGGCTGGCTTTAAACTGCAATTCTCAGATTTCAGCCTCTTGAGTAGCTAGGATGACAGGCATGAGCCACTGGCACCTGGCATGAGCGGTTTTTAATATAATCTCCTCACAGCCAAATGTGCAATCATGTCTCAACATTTGCTAATCTGTAGACCAACTTCTAAGACCTAGTATGTTGCTAGGCAGATGTCAATATTTCAGCTTCTCAAATGTGTACACACATGCCATAGTTAGTTGGGATACCTGTAAGGAAATGCCCCCTTTGCAGGCCTAATCGCTGCCCTGGATAGCAGCGCCTGCGCAGCAGGTGAGGCACCTCCCACTTCCGCCCCTGACATAAAAGGGGTCTCCAAGGAGCCAGAGAGTGCCATTTTCTCCCTTTCCTCATGAGAACTTGGCCTTGTCAGCTCTGCTGGCAATAAATCTTTCCTTCTACTTGACTTCTGCCTGCGTGGTCTTTTGGGTTACTTTCTTTGGGTTACTTCCTACCCAGGTTTACATTTTCTCCTTCAGTACCTGTGTTCCCAAATTCCTGTTGCGGTCTTGTCCCCCGCCACCCCACTATGAAGGGACTAGGAGGCAGGGGTGCTGGGAGATGATCGGATCATGACGGCAGAACCCTCTGGAGGCCTTGGAAAGCTGCTGGTCCTTTCCACCCTGTGAGGACTCAGCAGGAAGAGGCTTGAGCTTTATCAACCTGCATGTGGTCCTCACCAGACAAGGAATCTCCCTGGAGTCTTATCATGTACTTCCTCCCTCCTCAGAACTACAGAAAATAAATGTCTATTATTTCAGCCACACAATCGATTTTGTTGCAGCTGGAACTAAGACAAAGCTGGAAAAAGTACAATGCTAATAGGATCAGGACATGCTTGGGCAACCGTATTCTGTCAAGTTAATGAACAACCATGGAACTGGATCACCAGGTTCACCATGTGCAGTCCCCAAGGACATTCAGAAGATTCACGGCGACCACTGAGCAAGGAAGAACCAAAGATCCAAACAGAAACTAAGCAAGGGAGGACAAGCTAGTCATATTTAATTAAAAAAACAGGCATTTCTCTAGGATCTTGTGTGTGTGTGTGTGTGTGTGTGTGTGTGTGTGTCAGGTCGGTTGGTCAGTCGGTGGTGGGGCTTTAACTCTGGGCCTAGGTGCTGTCTCTGCACTCTTCAGCTCAAGTCGAACGCTCTACCGCTTGAGCCACAGCACCACTTTTGGTTTTCTAGGTTTGTTGGGGGTAAGAGTCTCACAGACTTTCCTGCCTGGGCTGGCTTTGAACCATGATCCTCAGATCTCAGCCGCCTGAGTAGCTAGGATTACAGGTGTGAGCCACCAGCGCCTGGCCAGAATTGGGTTTTTAAGATGACAATGCCTAATTATCAAGTTAAGTGAGGGAAAGAAGTAGAATGCAGAACAAGAGATGAGGGGTAGGAAAGATATAGATAGATGATAGATAGATAGATAGATAGATAGATAGATAGATAGATAGATAGATAGATAGATAGATAGAATCATATACCATTTAGGTATATGTGGTAATTAGAACACACAAATTCACAAAATAGAATTATTTCACAACACTGGAAGTTCACATCTGTAATCTTCGCTACTTGAGAAGTGGAGGCTGGCTCGATCAAAGTTTAAGGACAGTCTGGACATGAACACAAGACCCAACCCCATCTCAGTCAATAGCTGAACACAATAGTGGACACTTGTCATCCTAGCTACATGGGTGAATGTTAGCAGTCCAGGCCAGCCTGACATACATTAAAGCCCTATTAAAAAAATAATGGCCGCAAAAGGTTGGGGAAAGCTCTAGCAAGTGCAAGGCCCCAAGTTATAACCTCATTAACACCCCTCCCTCCGCTGTTTATTTCACAAGAGACGAATCAATTCTGCCAGATTCTATGTGAATCAGCCGGAGAACCTGGCTCTTCCCACCCACCATCAGCATCCTCCTCTCTACCCTTCAATTCGAGCCCCTGTTCCAGGCCCTGCTGCTTAGCGGGACATTCTGTGCTATGGTCTGCTCCTCCTTTCCCACTGGGCCACTCCCTAGGTTTGCCTTCCATTTACAGAGCCTTACAGCAACTGACTCCTCCTCATTCCTCCATAACTTCTCTTCAATCCTCTTAGGCTCAATTTGTATGGAAACCATTTGTAACTATGAATTATAGCTGTCTTTTTTATTTTTTATTTTTTTGGTCATGGGGCTCGAACTCAGGGCCTGTGTGCTGTTCCTAAGCTTTTTTACTCAAGGCTAACTATCACTCTCCACTTCTGATTTTCTGGTGGTTACTTGGAGATAAGAGTCTCACAGTTTTCCTGTCCAGGTTGGCTTTGAACTGCGATCCTCAGCCTCCTGAATAGTTAAGCTTATCAGTGTGAGCTACTAGTGCTCAGCCTGCCATTGTTTTTATGTGTAATATATTTATTGTTTTCATGTCAACCGGACGATAAACACATGTAAGGCAAAAGCCAAAACAATACAAAAAAGTCATACCTTACATCTTTCCTATTCTCACTTTGTCTGCTGGAACCTTTAATGTTGTCACTGAGCCTTTCTAGAATTTTCTACTGTGCGTTTTCAAATAGTACTACAAAACTACTTTGCTAGCACATAGCATATATACAGGAGGGTCTCCAGATACAGCATCAGGGACTCCCAGACTTCATGATCAGTGATGGATTTCAGTGGTCGGTGCACTTTAAGAACTTGCTAGCGAGGTTTTTTTTTATCACACCTACCCATGCTCTGCACTTACATAAGTCCGAATACATTTTTGAAAGGAAATAATAATAGCCTTGCAACATGTCTTGTTTATGTTGGCTTTCTTTTCCATACCACAGTGCTTTAAGGAATTCAGCTTCCAAACAAATCTATTTACCATGATAAGAGTTCAAAGCAATAGCATTAGCCAAACAGAATAAATAATAGTTATGGGAATATAATGAAAGGCTTTAGAGATGACTGACTTTTTTTTTTGGCAGGTCTTGGGGTCTGAACTCAGGGCCTAGGCACTGTCCTTAAGTCTTTCTGTGCTCAAGGCAAGTGCTCTATCACTTGAACCAGTGCCACTTAAGGCTTTTTTCTGCTTATGTGGTAATGAGGAATTGAACCCAGAGCTTCATGCATGCTAGGCAAGCACTCTACCACTAAGCCACATTCCCAGCCCCAAGATGACTGACTTTTAAGATAATAAATATTATACCTCTCCCCTTATGCAAAATGATCTAATTCTCTTTATTCTTTCTTAGTTGCTTTCTGGCGTATGAACTCAGAGTCTTGTACTTACTTGTATGATTTGCTTTCTCAGTTGGCATTCTACCACTTGAACCACGTCTCTATTCAAGCTTTTTGCCAATTATTTAGGAGATGGAATTTTGTGAACTTTTCTGCCTGAGATGGCTTCAAACCATGAGCCTCCAAATTTCAGTCTCTTAAATACGATTATAGGTATGAGCCACTAGTGCCAACCTGTTCTCAGTTTCTTTATATAAAAAGAAAAACCTTGACTTTTTTTTTGGTTGCTATTTATTTTGGCTGAAGTAAATCTAGTTCTATTTCACAATAGGAGGAAGAAATCAGAGACTAATTGGGCTAATTAGATATAGAATTAATCTCTTTCATAGAATGCCTTCTTTCTCCCCACAGGGACATTTAGTGTTTAGCACTGGAGAAAGAACTGACACACAAATATATTAAACCAAGGCCCTACCAGGAGCAAGGAGCTCAGAATCAGGTAGCCTACCTCTGATTTCCTGCATTCCAGTAACTCAGAAAAACCATTGGTGCAGGAGTAACGTGGGGGTCAAATCTAATCAGGAGGCTGAGATCTGTGGATCGTGGTTCAAAGCCAGCCAGGTTAATTTCCAATTAACCACAAAACGCAAGAAATGGAGCTGTGGTTCAAGTGGTGGAATGCCAGCCTTTAGTCAAAAAGTTCAAGAACAGCACTGAGGCCCTGAGTTTAAGCCTCAGGATTGGCACACAAACACAAATACACAAAAGAGGTTGTTATGTTGTTTTGTGCTCACAGATATATATGTTGATGGTGACAGTTAGTTATGAATAGCTACCACTTCCCCACTAACTGAGCATTTATAATGTACCACATCCTAGTTTACATCTTTTAGACCTAATTCATATTTTACCTTAGTAACAAATCTAGCAGATAGGTTTTACTTTCAGTGTGTAGATACAAATGAAGCTTAGAAAAACTAAAGGACCTGCCCAAAGCCACAGAGGGAAGTTGAGAGCCAGTATTTACCCTAGGTGTGTCTGACATCAAAGTCTACTTTCCAGAATGTTCTACCTGAAAAAAACCCAAACACTCCAGTATTGATAGACTACTAGGTACTTCCAAGACCCAAGTGTTCAAAGACAGAATACTTCTGGACTGAGAACAAGAGAGATTTCTTGCCACAATTCATGCCTGGTAGACTCAAATTTCACCCCTCAAAGTGAATCACTAACTCCCACCCAGGCCAAGTTAAGGGTACTTAGCCCAGAAAGTGTCAAGTTTGTGCTGTCTTTATCTAGGACAGATCTACTTCAACCCTCTTCTCTAGAGGAAAAATTTTAATTGGATTTAAATTTAAAATTGGGGCTAAGGATGTAGTTCAGAAGTAGAACGCTTGCCTGGCACGCACTAAGCTCCGAGTTCAATGTCTAGCTACATA